TTTCCCCATCTATTAATATGATCATATGATTTTTGTCTTTGCTTTTGTTTATGTGATGTATTACATTTACTGATTTACAAATATTGAACCATCCTTGCATACCTGGGATGAATCCCACTTGGTCTTGGTGTATGATCTTTTGGATATATTGTTGGATGTGATTTGCCAATATTTTGTTGAGGATTTTAGCATCTATGTTCATCAGCGATATTGGCCTGAAGTTTCTTTCTTTGTTGTGTCTCTATCTGGTTTTGGAATTCATAAAAAGAATTTGGGAGTTTTCCATTCTTCTGGATTTTTGGGAATAGTCTGTGGAGAATAGGGGTTAGCTATTCCTTAAACGCTTTGTAGAATTCTGTGAAACCATCTGGTCCGGGGCTTTTGTGTGATGGGAGTTTTTTGATTACTGCTTCAATTTCTTTTCCTGTTATTGGTGTATTTAGATTTTGTTTCTTTTTCACTGAGTTTTGGAAGATTGTATTTTTCTAGAAATGTGTCCATTTCCCCTAGGTTTTCAAATTTCTTGGCATGCAGTTCTTCATAGTAATTTCTTACAATCCCTTCTATTTCTGTGGTATCAGTTGTAATCTCTCCCCTTTCATTTCTGATTGTTTATTTGTGTCCTCTCTCTTCTTTTCTTGATGAGCCTACTTAAAGGCTTGTCTATTTTGTTTATCTTCCCAAAGAACCAACTCCTGGATTCATTGATCCTTAGAATTGTGCTTTTAGTTTCTATGTCATTTAATTCTGCTCTAATCTTGGTTATTTCCTTCCTTCTGCTTGCTCTGGACTGTCTTTGTTGTTGTTCCTCGAGTTCTTGCAGGCGTAAGGTTAGGTTGTTTGTTTGAAATGTTTCTATCTTCTTTAGGTAGGCCTGTATTGCTATGAACTTCCCTCTCAGGACTGCCTTCACTGTGTCCCATAAGTTTTCGGTTGTTGTGAGATCATTGTCATTTGTTTCCAGAAATGTTTTGATTTCTTCCCTAATTTTATTCTTGACCCATTCATTGTTTAATAGCATACCATGCAGTCTCCATGATTTTGGGTGCTTTGGGTTTTTTCTTTGGGGTTGGTTTCCAATTTCAGTCCCTTGTGGTCAGAGAAGATGCTTGGTATGATTTCAATTTTCTCGAATTTTTTTGAGGCTCGTTTTGTGTCCTATCATGTGGTCTATCTTTGAAAATGTTCCATGTGCATTTGAAAAGAATGTGTATTTAGCTTCTTTGGGATGAAGGGCTCTATGTATATCGGTTAAATCCATTTCATCTAGGGTGTTAATGCCACAATATCTTTGTTGATAATTTGTTTGGAAGATCTGTCCATTTTTGATAGTAGGGTGTTAAAATCCCCTACTATAATTGTGTTGCTGTCAATATCTTTCTTGAAGTCCTCTAAGATTTTCTTGATATATTTGGGTGCCCCTATGTTTGGTGCATATATGTTTACAATGGTAATGTCTTCTTGGTGGATTCTTCCCTTGAGTATAATGAAGTGACCTTCTGGGTCTCTCTTTATGGCCATTTTTTTTAAGTCTATTTTGTCCGTTATGAGAATTGCTACCCAAGCTTTTTTTTTCTTGTCCATTTGCTTGGAAAACTTGTTTCCAGCGTTTTACTTTTAGTCTGTGATGGTCTTTTGTCCTGAGGTGGGTCTCTTGTAGGGAGCATATGTGTGGGTCATGCTTTCTTACCCATTGAGCTATTCTGTGTCTTTTGATTGGAGCATTTAATCCATTTACGTTTAAGGTTATTATTGATAGGTACTTATTCATTGCCATTTTTGTACCTGTGTTCCTCTCTGTCTCCCTCTTATATTTCCTTCCCTTAAAGCAGTCGTTTTAGTATTTCTTGTAGAGCTGGTTTGGTGGAGGCATATTCTTTTAGGCTTCTTTTGTCTTGGAAGCTCTTTATTTGGCCATCTATCTTGATTGAGAGCATTGCTGGGTAAAGTAGCCTTGGTTGTAGGCCTCTGGTTCTCATTACTTGGAATATTTCTTGCCATTCTCTTCTTGCTTGAAGTGTTTCCATTGAGAAATCAGTAGCTAACCTTATTGGGGCTCCCTTGTAGGTTATTTCTTTTTTCTCCCTTCTGCCTTTAAGATTCTCTCTTTGTCTTGGAATTTTGCCATTTTGATGATGATGTGTCTTGAAGTGGGCCTCCTTGGGTTCCTCTTGATTGGGACTCTCTGTGATTCCTGGATTTGTGAGACTTTTTCTCTTATCAAATTAGGGAAATTTTCTCTCATTACTCGTTCAAATACGTTTTCTATCCCTTGTTCTTCTCCTTCTAGTATTCCTATTATTCAAATATTATTACGTTTCATATTATCTTGCATTTCTCTTACTCCCTCTTCATTCTTTCTGAGCCTCTTTTCATCTTCTTGCTCTTTCTGTGAGATGGTTTCTACCTTTTCCTCCAACTCACTAATCGTATCCTCTGCTTCATCTATCCTACTTTTGAAACTTTCTATTGTGTTCTTCAATTCGGAAATTGTATTCTTCATTACCTCTTGTCCCTTGCTGATTGTTTCCATTTCCTTTTTCATGTTGATGCAGTTTGCAGAGAGATCATTGTAGTTCCCCTGTAGTTTCTGGTAGTTCACTGTGAGCTCTTTGAACTTCGTAATAATCAGTGCTTTGAGTTCACTATCTGATAGTTGATCAGCCTCTATTTCATCTAACATTCTTTCTGAAGTTTCTGCTTTTTCTTTCATTTGGGGATTGTTTCTTTGTCTTCCCATTGTTCGAGACTCTTCCTGTTAGTCTCTGCTTCTAAAATTGATCTGTTCTGACACCCTGGTTTTATGGTGTGAACTTCTGTGGTATGATCCTTGTGAAGTTCAGTGGTGCAGACTCCTTGAAGTTTCTTGATGTTCTTCGTCTCCACCTATTCTCATGCTGGTCCCTGCGTTGGTCGCCTACCACTGCTGAATGTCCCGGCTGTAGTAGCCACCTCCTCAAGTGCCCAGGCCGGTTACTATGGCAGCGGCACAGAGGCTGGGAATGTCCCGGCTCCCGTAGGTGGCTCCTCTTCCGCCCAGGGCCATCACAGGGGTTTGGAGCGTCCCAGCTTTTGTACCTGACTCCCGGCATCCAGTCCCGTCGCTATGTAAGTGGCACAGTGGCTGAGAATGTCCCAGCTCCTGTAGCTGGCTCCTCTCCTGGTGTTTTTTTCTACTTTGTCCTCCAACTCTCTTATCAGATCTTCTGCTTCATTGACCCTATTTGATACCTTCTACCGTGTTCTTCAGCTCCAAAATTGTATTCTTCATTTCCTCTTGGCCCTTGTTGGTAGTTTCTATTTCCTTTTTCATTTTGATATAGTTTGCAGTGAGTTCATTGTAGCTTCCCTGCAGTTGCTGGTAGCTCATTGAGAGCTCTTTTGGACTTCCTGATAAACAATTTAATATCTGACATCTGACTTGCCTCTATTTCATCTAGCATTCTTTCTGAGGCTTCCTCCTTTCCTTTCATTGGGGGGTTGTTTCTTTGTCTTCCCATTGTTTGTGAGACTCTTTTTTTAGCTTCAGCTCCTTAAATTGATTTCTTCTGGCTTCCTGGATTTATGGTGTGCACTTCTGTGGTATAATACCTGTGAGATTCAGTGGTGTAGTCTCCTTGATGCCCCTAGATCACTGGTCTTGGGCTGTGCTTAACATTAGCTCTGAGTTTGTCTTTGGGTTTTTGTTGTTTCTGGGTGTTTTGTGGCTTCTTCCCACCAGTTGGTTAACTGTTGGGGTCCCTCTGTCCCCTACTCATTTTAATTTGCTGTGCTGGTGAGGGTAGGTTGCATTGAACCTAGTTCTTCAGCATATACAGTGTTTTGAAGATTCTGTTTTGCTCTTGTTCAGTTGTTTGCCCTGGGAAGTTTCTCTGCTGTTTAGTTGTATTTCCAGGTAAATCTTGGGTTGAGGTTTTTGTGGTTTCTACTCCCTACTTCACCTTCTTCTGTTATCTGTTGGTGGTTCCTTTGTTGTTGGGTTTCCTCTTCCTTTGGGTATCCTGGTGTTCATTGCTTCCACCTATTCTTTTTTATTTCTGCTTGTGATCAGCTGGAGGGGAAGGCAAACTGGTTTGTGACGGTAGGAGTGTATTCTATGATATTTACAGTAGCAGCTGGTAGAGAAGAGACTGGCGCTCCCCCGACTATGTACAGCGACAACCCTAATCTTCAACCCACCTAGCCACTTTTCAGAAAGGGTGGAAGAAAGATAAGGCTCTTGTTGGGGAGGGAAGGCTTGTGATTGGGATCCAGAAAGGAGTGAGTTTGAGGGAGGTCATATTCTGAGATAACGTGAAAATAAGGGATGGTAAATAGGTGTAGTGTCAGAGAGAACAGAGTCAACCACTGCAGTATTATAGTTCAGGCAACAATGAAGTGCGCTATGATCTGGAGGGGGGTGTTGTGTAGTATTTACAACAGCATGCAATAACTATTATTTACAATAATATTAGAGCAACAATTATACAACAGAATCTATGATATACCAAGATTAGGGAGCACTGGACTTCCAACATTTTGCTAACTGGGAAAGGGGCAGTAAAGGAAAGTAAATTAGCATTCACTATGACTGAGGGGACAGGGGAAACCTGTCAAGTGATAGAATATATCCAGCCAAGGTAAAGAAGACTATATAGAAAGAGGAGGAATACAGAGATACTATTAAAGTAAAAGATGTAAGAATGATGAAATATACAAATATGCAGTAACTTGTAGTTTTTCTGTTATAGCAAAGTGAATTTTGTCTCTCTTTCTCTACTGTTGGGATGCCCCCTCTTTGAGTCCAACTCTGGTATTTTCGCTGGTCCAAATCTTTTGTCTCACTTAGGGGGTAGGGGGTTGAAAAGAAAGAAAAAAAAAGGCAGCAGAAGGGAGGAGAAAGTGGTAGGTTTGGAAAGAAAGAAAAAAGGAATAAAACAAGAAACAAGAAGAGAGAGGGTAAAAGTATTGAAAGATAAAACAATAATAAAGTTAAAAAACATATTTATTAAAAGAAAAAAAAAACACCACTTGTTGGTTTCCAGCTAGTCGAGCCTTTTCTGCTGGTCGCACTAAGCTGCAGCAGTCAGAGGGTCGATTAGTGCTGCCTTTCTCCCTTCTCAGTGAACTGAGCTGGTCTCACAATTGCTCTCCCAAGATCTTCTCCTCAGTGCCCGAGAGCACACTTTCTCCAGGATTCAGTCTGGGGTGTGGATGTTCGTTCCCAGCCAGGCTTCTCTGGTCCTGCTGGCTTGGGTGCGACCCTTTCTCAGTGCTATGTGGGAACACAAGGGTGACTCAATTCCCCCAAGCTGGCAACCACAGACTCCACGTGTGATCAAAGCTCTCTGTTTTGCTTCTTCATACCCACTCCTCTCCCTGATACTCCAAGGAAACAGATCTCTCTTGGAGTTTTTCAAACTGTGCCCAGCTGGGTAGGTAAGGAGCTGGTTACTGGCTCTCTCCCAAGGCCCTTGCTTCCAGCCCTCCGCTCCCAGAGACTGAGGTGGACCAGCCCAGGCCCTGGCTCGGCTTGGGCCCTGGTGCGGCCCACGGAGGGCCTGCAGCCTCTGCACCATTCCCTCGGACCTTATTGACCTGCAGCCGTCTCTCCTCACCATCTGGTCATTCAGAGTCTGCTCCAATTTCTGGAGTCCTACCTTCCTATATGCTGGGTCCCTGTTGGCTGTCCACCGCGCTCCTCTGAAGATCAGCTCGGTTTTTCTCCGGTGCGTGGGGGGGAAGCGAAATCCTTTGTCCTACTCTGCCACCATCTTCCCAAGCCACCCCTATTTTTCTGTTTAATTGCATTGTTTGACTGGTTTTCCTTATTCTCTCTTTAATGCATTTTAATTTTCCTTCTTTCACATCACTCGTCTTCCAATAACACATTATTCTTGATTGAGTACTTTCTATTCTGGTTATCCAAATCATACATTTCTTGGTATGTTATTGTTGTTCTAGTAATATTATAAATAATTGTTCCATACAATTGTACATATTACACAGCAACCCTCCATGAATTTAGCCCACTTCACTTTATTCCCAAGCATTAATATTGTTGTGGTTAACTCTATTCTCTCTCACACTACACCTACTTTCTCTACTTTATTCCCACTATATCTCATCATCTAACCCTGCACAAGTGCTCTGTTTTCTGGATTCAGCTCCCAATCCTCCTCCCTGTAACAAGAGTCTTATCTTTCCTTCACCTTTTATAAAATGTGGCTAGTTGGGTGAAATATCACAGTTAATGCTATACTTATCCAAAGAATCTCCTATCTTTTCCCTATATGCTGGTACTCTATATCCTATAAAATACTGTCCCACTGTCTTAATCCATATTGCCTACCCCCGTCACTGACTACATATAAGAACAGGTGGCAGCTACGAACATCAGTATACCTGCTGGAGGAGAGAACCCACCAACAAAGGAACCACCAAAAGGTAAAATCCCAGGCACAGCAAGAGAGCCCACACAAACAGAAGAAAGGGCAAACTTACAGTGTCCAGACAAGGAGATCAAAGGGACCACACCACTGAACCTCACAGAATTCCTACCACAGAAGTTTACCCTACAAAGACAGGAGAACTCACAGGTCATTTAAAGAAGAGGTAACCTCTATCCTTCAGAGACCATTCCAAAAAATGCAAGAAGATGGAAGACTCCCGAACTCTTTTTATGAAGCCAACAACACCACATAAAGACACAACAAAGAAAGATATAGCTGATCAATACAGACGCTACAATCCTCAACAAAATATTGGCAAACTGCATCCAGCAATACATTAGAAAGATCATACACCATGGCCTAGTGAGATTCATCCCAGGAATGCAAGGATGCTACAATATTCGCAAATCAATAAACATAACACATCACATAAACAAAGGCAAGGACAAAAATCACAAGATCATATCAGTTGATGCAGAAAAAGCATTTGATAAGGTATAGTACTCATTTATGATAGAAACACTCAGCAAAGTTGGAATAGAGGGAGTATTCCTCAACATAATAAAGGCCATATATGAGAGAACTACATCCAATATAACACTCAATGGACAAAAGCTAAAAACTTTACCGCTAAGATCTGGACCAAAACAAGGTTTTCCACTTTCACCACTTCTATTAAACGTACTATTGGAAGTCATAGCCACAGAAATCAAACAAGAATAAGAAATAAAAGACATCCAAATCAGAAAAGAAGAAACAAACCTGTCATTGTTTGTAGGTGACATGATAGTATACATAAAAAATCCTGTACTCTGCCAAAAAACTGCTCAACCTAATATATGAATTTGGCAAAACAGCAGGATACACACTCAATATCCAGAAATCAAAGGCATTTTTGTATACCAACAATGAAACAGCTGAAGCAGAAGTCAGGAAAAAAACCTGTTTGATATAGCAACAAGAAAAATAAAATACATAGGAATAAACCTAACCAAGGATGAAAAAAACCTGTAATCAGCAAACTATACAAGACTAAAAAAAGAAATTAAGGAAGACATAAACAAATAGAAACATATACCCTGTTCATGGATTGTAATAATTCACACCATCAAAATATCCACACTATCCAAAGCAATTTGTACAGATTCAGTACAATGCCTATTAAAAGTACCAATGGCATATTTCACAGACACAGAACAGATATTTAAAAAATTTATATGGAACGATAAATGACCCTGAACAGCTGCTGCAATTTTGACAAAGAAGAGCAAAGTACGAGGGACCATAATACCTGATACCAAACTGTATTACAAGGCTACTGTAATCAAAACAGCCTGGTACTGGCATAAAAACAGATAGACCAGTGGAACAGAACAGAGAGCCCAGAAATAAACCCAAGTATCTATGGTCAATTAATATTCAACAGAAGGGGCAGCAACATAAAATGGAGTAAAACAGCCTCTTAAAAAAATGGTGTTGGGAGAGCTGGACAGCTACGTGCAAAAAAATATGAAACTCGAGTACCAACTTACACCATACACAAAAATAAATTCAAGATGAATAAAAAAAGTAACTGTAAGTCATGATACCATTAAAGTCCTAGAGGAGAATATAGGCAGGAAAATCTCAGTTATTTCACACAACAAAATTTTCACTGCTATGTCTCCTGGAGCAAGGGACATAAAGAAAAGAATAAACAAATGGGATCAAAATAAAAAGCTTCAGCACAGCTAAAGGGAACAGCATTAAAATGAAAAGGGAACCAACCATATGGGAAAACATATTTGCCAAGGATACCTCAGACAAGGGTTTGATCTCCAAAATATTCAAAGAACTGACACAACTCCACTCTAAGAAGACAAACCCAAGTAAAAGGTGGGCAAAGCACTTGAACAGACATTTCTCAAGGAGGACACAGATAGGGCCCAGAGACAAAGAAAAGGAGGTTTAGCATCACTAGCCATGAATCAGATGCAAATTAAAACCACAAGGAAATACCTGTTCACACCAGTAAGAATGGTCATCATAAACAAAGCAACAAACAAAAAGTGTAGGAGAGGATGTGGAGGAAAGTGAACAATGTTGTACCATTGGTGCAATTGCAGACTGGTGCAACCACTATGGAATTTCCTCAGAATACTAACAATGAAACTGCCTTTAGGATTATATCCCAAGAACCCTAAAAAAAACAATCCAAAAGAATCTATGTGCCCGAATGTTCATAGCAGCACAATTTACAATAGCTAAGTGTTGTTGGAAGCAACCTAAGTGCCCATCATTAAATGAATGGACCAAAAACTATGGACCAAAAACTTACACAATGGAATTCTATGAGCAGAAAGAAAGGAGCTACTAACCTTCATGACAGCATGGATGGATGGGAATATAGAACATAATGCTAAGTGCAATAAGCCAAGTGGTGAAAGACAAATACCATATGATCTCTTCTTCAAGTGGAACCTAATTAACAAAACAAGCAAGTCAGCAAAATACAACCGGAGAATTTGAAATACAGAACATACTGACAATAACCATAGGGGAGTGGGAAGAGGGATAAGGGGAGAAAGAAGGGGAGAAAGAAGGGAAAGGGTCATCAAGGAACAGGTATAAAGGACCCATGGGCAAAGCTAAAAGTTGGAAAAATTGAAAGTGGCAGATGTGGGTGTGTGAGGCAGGGGGGAAAGTGGTGGCAGGAAAATGGAGACAACTCTACTTGAACAACAAAAAAATGCAAAAAATAAGTATCAAAATAAAAAATAAAGTTACAATGCAAGATATTCATGTAGTCAACAAACCCAAAAGGTCCTATTCTCATGTAATCTCTAATACAAAATTGTGAAAGTAAAAAATAAAAGCATCTCTTACCTAATATTTTTAAAATATATTTTATTGATTATGCTATTACAGTTGTCCCATTTCCCCCCTTCATTTTCCTCCACCTTGCATACCCCCTACCACCCACATTCCCCCTTTAGTTCATGTCCCTGTGTTCTTTAGCTTCTACATTTCCCATATTATTCTTGCCCTCCCCATCTATTTTCTACCTACTGTCTATGCTACTTATTCTCTGTATCTTTTCCCCCTCTCTCATCCTCCTACTCTCCTGTTTGCTAACCCTCTATGTGATCTTCTTTTCTGTGGTTCTGTTACTGTTCTAGTTATTTGCTTATTTTGCTTCTTTATTTTAGGCATGGTTGTTAATTGTGAGTTTGCTGTCATTTTACTGTACATGTTTTTCATCTTCTTTTTCCTAGAGAAGTCCCTTTAACATTTCACATAATAAGGGCTTGGTGATGATGAACTCCTTTAACTTGACCTTATCTGAGAAGCACTTATCTGCCCTTCCATTCTAAATGAAAGCTTTGCTAGATAGAGCAATCTTGGATGTAAGTACTTGCCTTTCATGACTTAGAATACTTCTTTCCAGCCCCTTCTTGCCTGTAAGGTCTCTTTTGAGAAATCACCTGACAGTCTGATGGGAACTCCTTTATAGGTGACTGTCCCCTTTTCTCTTGCTGCTTCTAGAATTCTCTCCTTCATATTAATCTTGGCTAAAGTCATTATGATGTGCCTTTGTATGTTCTTCCTTGGGTCTAACTTCTTTGGCACTCTCTGAGCTTCCTGGAAGTCTATTGCCTTTGCCAGATTGGGGAAATTCTCCTTTATTATTTGTTCAAATAAGTTTTCCAATTGTTGCTGTTCCTGTTCCCCTTCTGGCACCCCTATAATTCAGATGTTGGAACGTTTAAAGATGTCCTGGAGGTTCCTAAGCCTCCCCTCATTTTTTTGAAGTCTTGTTTCTTCTTTTTTCTATTTGGTTGGTTGTTTCTTCCTTCTGGTCCTCTCCATTGATTTGAGTCTGCTTTTTTTTTCCTATCAGTATTGCTTCCCTGTGCATTTTCCTTCATTTCACTTAGTGTAGCCTTCATTTTTTCATCTAATTTGCGACTAAAATCAACCAATTCTGTGAGCATTCTGACCACCAGTCGTTTGAACTGTGCATCTGATAGACTGGCTATCTCTTGGTCACTTAAAAGTATTGGCTCTCAGGCTTTGATCTGTTCTTCCATTTGAGCCATTTTTTGGGGGGGGGTGGCACCTGTTACATAGTGAGGGGCAGATTCTTATGTGTTCACCAGGGTGGGACAACCCAGTAGCTAGGTTGTGAAGGTGTATGTTGGGGCAGGGTCAGAGAGGGAACCATGGCGCTTTCTCTACTTTCTCGTATTTAAGTCCCTTCTGCTGTTTTCCCCAGCCAAATCGGGCCCTTCTGGTGCTAGTTCCCGGGTTTGTGGGCTTATGTATGTTTTAGGACCTGGTGGGTCTCTTCAACAAACTCTCCTGTGTGGCTGGGAGTCTCTCCTGGCACCTTAAGTGTTTTCAATTGGTGTTTTCAATCGGTGCTTTTAGGCTTTATTTCCCGGTGCTTGGGCCCTAAGTTGTGCGGTCTCTCTTGCTTCCTGTTTTTGCCTGGTTCATTGGTCTGGCTGAGTGGTGGTCGGACACCCATAAAACTCAATTTTCTGTCAGTTCTGGTTGTTTTTTTGTTGTTGTTTCTAATTTTTTTGTTCTTAATTTTGGTTGTGTGAGGAGGCACAGTGTGTCTATCTATACCTCCATCTTGACTGGAAGTCCTAATACATTTTCAATACAATGCAAACACTTATAAAAGATATAATTATTTAATCTTCACAATGCTACTAAGAATTATGGTGTTATTATCAATGTATAAATGAGAAAATTTAGATATATTTAAATAATTTGCCTTATAAGGAGTTATGATGGTGAAGACAATAAAGACTAAATATTGGTTCAACCTTTCCCCACTCTTACTCAGTTTAATTTTAGACAATGAGTTTGCAAATACTAACATGATTTAGAAAGGACAGTAATCTGGTATAATTTTAATATTAACATAACCTTCAAGTATGAATTGTCAGATGAATAACTTGATAGGTAAAGAAATTGGTGTCCCATATATATACTATTTATGTTATAAAACTTCTAATCTCTCTTGAGGGCTAATGATCCTGATGTTGAGAAAGGTTTGAACTATTAATGCCTCTTAACACATTTGCTGCTATCCTAAACTTTCCCATTTTTCTTACATTCAGTTTTTTTTACCAATTGCACTATGATAGGAAAGGAATTCTGAAACACAAATAAACCCTCCCAATTCCTAACATTCTGGCCCTTAAACACTTTACATTCACAGTACAAACTCTTGATATTAAGTTATTCTTATGTACTTTCCCATATTCCTTATAATCATAGAGATTTGTTTCTGTTTTACTAGTATGAATTTCAGATGTCAATTAAATTCTGAATGTTCCCATATCTTCATTCATTCCTCTGTCCTGCATGAATTTTTTGATGTTGACTAAGGTGTGAGCCACGAATAAAGGCTTTTCCACAATGCTTACATTCATAAGGTTTCTCACCAGTGTGAATTTTCTGGTGTCGACTAAGTTCTGAGCCACGACCAAAGGCCTTTCCACATTCCTTACACTCATACGGTTTTTCACCATTATGAGTTCTCTCATGATGAGTAAGTTCTAACCTTCGAATAAAAGATTTTTCACATTCCTTACATTTGTGGGGTCTCTCACCAGTGTGAATTTTTTGATGTCGAATAAGTTCTGTGCTACAAGTAAAGGTCATTGCACATTCCGTACATTTATAGGGTTTCTCACCAGTGTGAGCTCTTTGATGTCGAGTAAGTTCTGAGCCACGACGAAAGGATTTCTCACATTCCTTACATTTGTATGGTTTATCACCAGTATGAACACTCTGATGTCGAATAAGATGTGAATAAGAGATAAAAGCTTTCCCACATTCCTTACATTTATGAGGTTTCTCGCCAGTATGAATTCTTTGATGTAGACTCAGTTGTGAGGCACAGCTATATACCTTTCCACATTCCTTACATTCATAGCGTCTTTCACCGGTATGAATTATTTGATGAAGACTAAGTTGTGTGTCATAACGAAAAGCTTTACCACATTCTTTACATTTATGGGGTTTCTCACCAGTGTGGATCCTCTGATGTCGAAAAAGGTGTGAGGGACGGGTGAAAGCTTTTCCACATTCCTTACATTCATAGTACCTCTCATGTGTATGAATTCTCTGATGTAAATTAAGTTGTGAAGTAGTTGGAAAGGCCTTCTTACACTCCTTACATTCATAGGGTTTCTCACCAATATGAATCCTTTGATGGTTAATAAGCTGTGAGTTAGAAGAAAAGGTTTTCCCACATTCTTTACATTTAAGAACCTTCTCCCCAGTATTAATGCTCTGAGGTTCAGTAATTTCAGAATCATGAATAAAGGCATGTTTATTACCTTCATTACTTTCCTTTCTTTCATGAATTCTCTGACACTTATTCAAGTCTGACCTACTATTCAAGGCTTTTCCACATTCTCTGCATTTAGAGTTTTTTTCCTTATTATGACTGCTTTCATGTTGAATATGGTCTGATTGGTACCTGAAAACTTCCTTACATTCCTTGTATTCACATGACTTCCTCCCAGTATGAATTATCTGAGGTACTCTATAAACTTTGCACTGAATGAAAGCAGACATTTCTTCAGAGGTTATTAGAGCCGGTTTGAAATGTCCATCTTGTTGTCTCTCCAGGTAGCATTTGATTTCACTATTATCTCTAACCCTAATGCATACAAGGTTAGACCTTATAGGTGTTTTTATCTCTGGTTGCAATGATTTAATTTCATAACAGCTCTGCTTTGGAGATAAATTCCTGGTTTCTCTTCTGGATTCCCAATCTGTAAGAAAACAAAAAAGAAATAAGGAGGTATCTTCTTTCATGTTTCAGGAAAAAGAAAACTTCTCAGGAAAAAAGGGCAAACTAAGAATAGGAAATAAATAGCTCTTAACACTACAATTTGAAAAAGGAGGACAGAGGGAAAATAAGGATAGAGAAAATGGGGGGAACTTATAAAGGAAGTGGTTATTAACCTCTGGTGAGAACCAGAATGCTGGGGAACTTATACAAATATAATGTCCAAGAACCACTAAGACCAATTAAACAACAATGTAAAGAAATAGGATATTACAATAACAGCAAGTCTGCTCATCTATGGACTCAAAATGTATCCAGATTATAATTAGTTGTCTTTAACAGTATAGCTAGCACTTGTCCAAAGCCATCCCATACCAAGATTAACACACTATTCTAAATGAGTCTCCCTACTTGCACTGTTGCCTTCTTAATATCTCATACCCAACATAATAGCCAAAGTGTTCTTGTTAAAATAAGTCAGATCACCAAAGAGAATATTAAAAGCAGCAAGGGAGAAAGAGATAGTGACATACAAGGGAGCTGCAGTAAGGTTGACTGCAGCTGATTTCTCAAAAGAAACACTATAAGCCAGAAGGGAATGGTAAGACATATTCCAAAGCAAAGGCTTGCAACCAAGACTACTCTACCCAGCAAGACTGTCATTTTAAAATGGAAGGCAAAATAAGAAATTTCCAAGACAAAAGATGGCTAAAAGAATACACCTCCACCAAACCAGCTTTGCAAGACTTGCTAACAGGAATGCTTTAAGAAGATGAAGGTATAGAGTGAGAAAGAGGGGAACACAGGTACAAAAGGAAAAACTGGCTTAGGATACATACCTGTCAATAGTAACCTTAATTGTAAATAGATTAAATGCTCCAATCAAAAGACATAGTGTAGCTCAATAGATAAGAAAACATATACACTGTCCACAAGAGACCCACCTCAGAACATAAGACCTAAAAGTGACAGACTGAAAGTGAAGGGCTGGTGAAAAATATCCCAAGCAAACACACAGGAAAAAAAGGTGGGGTAGCAATACATATACCAGACAATGCAGATTTCAAAACAAAGGCCATAAAAGGAGGCAAAGAAGGTCATTTCATAATTCTAAAGGGAAGAAAGCCTTAGAAGCTATAAACATTGTAAATGTATGCATTTACAATGCATAGAGCACCCAACATAGGAGCACCAAACATAGGAGCCCAACATAGAAGCACCAAATATATAAGGAAAATCTTGGAGGACTTCAAGAAAGATATAGACAGCACCACAATCATAGTAGGACATTTTTACACCTCACTGTCAACAATGGACAGATCTTCCAAACAAATAATTAACAGGAACATAGCAAGACTGAACGACACACTAGTTATATACAGAATCTTTCAACCCAAAAAAGCAAAATATACCTTCTTTTCAAATTGACAGGATACAATACAAAAAAAGCATGAACAAATTCAAGAAAATTGAAGTCATATCAAGCATTTTCTTGGATCACAAGATCCAAGAAATGGCCTGAAACTAGAAAGCAACCAATAAGGAAAAATTCAAAAACATTCAAATACATGGAGATTGAATAAAATGTTATTAAACAGTGAATGGGTAAACAATGAAATTATGGAATAAATCAAAAACTTTCTGGAAACAAATGGAAAATGAATACAACCCAAAACCAGGGCACAGCAAAGTCAGTTCTGGGAGGAAAGTTCATAGAAATATAGGCTTACCTAAAAGGTGGAAACATTTTAAATAAACAACCTAACGCTGCACCTACAAGAACTGAACAACAACAAACAAAACCCAGAGCAAGCAGAAGGAAGGAACTAACCAAGATCAGAGCAGATTTAAATGACATAGAAACTTAAAAGAATAATTCATAGGATCAATAAACCCAATTACTAGTTCTTTGAAAAGATAAACAAAACCTGTGGGCTCTGTCTACAGAGCTGCCCTGGGCAGTTGCAAATAAAATAAAAATGTCCAACGCATGATCTGCTTGAGAAGAAAAGGTGACAGGAGTCCCTCAAAGGAGAAAGGTTCTGAATACCTTCTTCCCTGTGTATTTATTGAGTTCGGCTCACACCGAGATACACAGTACACACATAAAGCTCATCAACCAATGCTCAAAATGCTATTGACATCATATATAGATGACGGTTGAAGAAATACAGGGATTGTCTCTGGTCATGGTTGGCTTTAGTTCAAGTGTCTGTTTCACAGCAACAGGGCAGAGCAAGTCTCAAAGGAAACAATATATATTCTTTCTCTGGCCAGATTTGCCCCCACCTGGGGAGTATCTGCTCCAGTACAAGGTCAAAGCTGCCTCTGGCATAGTTCCCAGGCTGTCAGGAGGGGAGAGAAAAGGAGCTAAGAAACTAGGAGACTTTTACAGGAAGAGTGAGAACTCAGGCTATGAGAAGCCAAGGGGTGAAGGTCTTTCTGCCCCTTCTCTAAAGAACCCTAAGTCCTTCCCTGACATACCATTGCAACTGAGCCTGTCTTAGGTTGCCCCCACCTGGGAGTCTTACCTGTCATTGGCTAACCAGTCATCCACCAGGGCCAAGGATTGGGAAGTGAGGAAGGCAAGGGCTGTATTCCTGCTAGCAGGAAATGTTCTGTCTCCTTAGTGGCTCATGTCCCCAAAACCTTTTCACTCAGCTCTAGCCATGGGACCCTTAATGTCCATTAATGAGGCTACAGTCCCTAAAACCAGGCAGGACAGATCCCAAAAGATAACCCTTTAGTCAGGTTCATCAAGAAAAAAAGGAAGAGGATGCAAATAAAATTAGAAATGAAAGAGAAGAAATTACAACTGAGATCACAGAAATACAAAGGAGTATAAGAAATTACTATAAACAACTATATGCCAAGAAATCTGAAAACCAGGGTGAAATGGACAAATTTCTAAAAAAATATAACCTTCCAAAATTTAATGAAGAAGAAGCAGAAAGCCTAAACAGACTGATAACAGCTGGTGAAATTGAAGCAGTAATCAAAAAACTCCCAACACACAAAAGACAGGGACTGGACAGTTTCGTAGGAGAATTTTACAAAATATTTAATGAAGGGCTAACTCCTATCCTTCTCAAACTATTCAAAAATCCAAGAGGGAGGACTCCCAAACTCGTTTTATGAGGCCAGCATCATCCTAATCCCAAAACCAGATAAAGACACAACAAAGAAAGAAAACTTTAGGCCAATAGAGCTGATCAACATTGAAACTAAAATCCTCGACAAAATATGAAAACAGCAACCAGCAATATATTAAAAAGATCATAGACCATGATCATGGAATTTATGCCAGGAAGGCAAGGATGGTACAATATATGCAAATCAATAAACGTAATACATCACATAAACAAAACAAAGACAAAAATAACATGATCACATCAATAGATGTGGGAAAGGTGTTTGATAAGGTACAGCACCCATTTATGATAAAAACCCTCAGCAAAGTGGGAGTAGAGACAGCATAGTTCAACATAATAAAGGCCATAGAAAGATACAAATAAATGGAAGCACATATCATGTTCATGGATTGGAAGAATTGATATCATCAAAATGTCCATACTAACCAAAGGAATTTAAAGATTCAATGCAATCCCTATTAAAAAACCAATGACATATTTCACAGATATGGAACAAACACTTTAAAAATTTATTCAGAACCATAACTGACTGTGAATAGCTGCAGCAATTTTAAGAAAAAAGAACAAAGTGGGAGGGATCACAATACCTGACATCAAACTATATTAAAAGCCTACTGTAATCAGAACATTCTAGTACTGGTATAAGAACAGATCAATGAAAGAGAACAGAGAGACCAGAAATATACCCATGTCTCTATGGTCAATTAATATTCAACAGTGGGGGCAAAGGCATAAAATGGAGTAAAAATAGCCTCTTTAAGAAATTGTGTTGAGAGATCTGGACAGCTACAGTCAAAACAATGAAACTCAACTACCAACTTATACCATATACAAAAGTAAACTGAAGATAGAGAAAAGACTTAAATATAAGTTGAGACACCATAAAAGCCCTAGAGGAGAACATAGGCAGGAAAATTTCAGAAATTCCATGCAACAAATTTTCACCCATATGTCCCCTAGAGCAAGGACATAAAGGAAAAAATAAACAATTGGGACTTCAGCAAAATAAGAAGCTTCTGCAAAGCTAAAGGAAACATCAGCAAAATGAAAAGGGAATGAACCATATGTGAAAATATATTTGCCAAGGATACCTTGTACAAGTGTTTAATCTTTAAAATATATAAAGAACTCACATGACTCCAGTCCAGGATATAAACAATCCAATTAAAAAAAGGGCAAAGGATTTGAACAGACACTTTGCCATGGAAGACATATAGAGGGCCCAAAGACATAGGAAAAGATCCTCAGCACCACTAGCCATCAGAAAAATGCAAATTAAAACCACAATGAGATACCACTTTACACAGGTCAGAGTAGCCATACTAAACAAATCATCAAACAACAAGTGCTGGAGAGGTTGTGGAGAAAAGGGAACCCTAATACATTGTTGGTGGGAATGCAGACTGGTGCAATCACTGGAAAATATTTTGGAATTTCCTCAGACAACTAAAAACGAAACTTCCTTTTGATGCAGCAATTCCACTGCTGGGATTATACCCTAAGAATCTTGAAACACTAATTCAAAAGAACCTATGCACACCAATGTTCATAGCAGCACAATAGCCAAGTGTTGGAAGCAACTTAAGTGCTCATCAGTAAATGAATGGATCAAAAAATATATGGTACATTTACACGATACATTTGGTATATTTACACAACAGAAAGAAAGAAGGAGGTTCTACCTTAATCCATAGCATGGATGAAACTGGAGAGCATTATGCCAAGTGAAATAAACCAGGTGGTGAATGACAAATAAAATATGGTCTCACCTATAAGTGGAACCTAATCAACAAAGCAAACAAGAATGCAAAATATAACTGGAGACATTGAA